CACGTCCATGGCCACCATCGAGGACACGTCCAAGGTGGAGGTGATTGTGTATACCAAGTCGGACAAGACGCTCAAACAGAATATGAATGCCAAGGACGATACGCTGCGCAAGCGTACCTCGTTGATCATAGTGCCGCAGCAGGTGGATGATCTGCTCGACACAGCTGTGGTGCAGCAAGAACAGCAGCTGCAGCTGCAGCAACAACAGCAGCAGCACCAGCAGCAGCAACAACAGCAGCAGCTGACTGAGAACGGCAATCGCAATTCGATAGCCAGCATGGATAGCTGCGTCTCCACCAATACTAGCCAGAGCAATCAGTCGAGTGCCAGCTCCAGCTCCAGCACTAGCTCTGAGGATGCGCATGCCGCCTATCAGGATCTACAGAATGGCAATGGCGGCGATGAGCTGGCGGCCATGCACTCGCCCAGCTGCTCCAGCACTTCGGAGTCGACATCCTGCAGCAGCTCGGTGGATTACTCGCTGCGCGAACAGCTCCACAACTATGCCAATCGCAGCGAGGAGCAGCTGAAGTGCATCAATCATGATCTGCCCACCGCTGCCCAGCTGCTCAAGGGCATGGGTCTGCCCATGGAGCAGGCAGCCAGCGGTGCGGCCCATTGCGATGCACTGCTCAGTCCGCAGGAAGTGCCGCTGGGTCGGCGCTACGCCGAGGTGGCCCAATTCAAAGGTCACAGCAAGGCGAGGTGAGTGCCCAGGAGAACGCATCTCAACGGCAACGATGTTTATGAAGCTGAGACGAACGCTCTCTTGCCAGCCTTAAATTGCTCTAATTTTATCAATTATTATTTCTCATTTACTCGATTACTTTTCACTTTGTTCATTTTATGCATTTCATTCAATGAAAACACAATTCATTAGAAAGTTTTCTCTCAGCTCTGCTGAAATTCGTCTTTTGGGATTTTACAGCGCTTAAACTTATTGCTCGCTCTCGCTGCAAATCCCTGAAGGCAAATAGAAAAAGTTTTTAGTGAATTGTGTTTTCGTTTAATCAATCCTTAAGCTGCAACTCAATTGACCTTTAATTGGTTTCAGTTGCTAAATGAATTATATAGAAATATATGTTAAAAATAAGACGCTACGAAGACTGCTTTATTATAAAGTTTTTTCTATATATTTGTGAACATTTCTTGTCAGGCATTTGAAGCCTTTCGACTCCCTAAGTTTTATTTTTCGTTTCATAAACTGCTTTCTGGCAGAATTGCAACTTTATTTTCTGTGACTTTCGATTACAAAATCTACTTAGTTCAGGCTTTAGCTGCTTTTCCGTATCCTGCTCGGCTGTCTCTATTAAGTCTTATCTTTTAGCGCAGCTCTCGCCTTTGTCTCTCACCTGCAGCTCATTAGTGTTCTGACCGCGTGCTTCCTAGTGAACGTTCTAACACCTTATGCCAGCTGCTATCCTGCAGATCTGTCTGTGGCTCATTTTGCAGCTGCTGCACATTCATATATATATACATATATATATATATATATATATCATCTCTCTCTCTTTGTTGGCTCTTGCTATCTCTTTCTTTTGTGTGTTGGTATTGGCGCATTGTTTCGATACCCTTGACGTGCTTGAACTAAACGATGTCAATTGCTCACTCAACTTGAGCAGCGCCAGCCACAAGCACTGGCAGCCAAAGCCCTAGCCAAAACCCTAAATAACTAAGCACTATTTGAGCTCGCCTCCGGCCCTCTGGCTACATATATATATATATATAAGCATGTTCCTTGGCACCTTTTGATGGCAGCTGCAATCTCGTCGTCTTGCTGCACATGCATAATACACAACTTAATTAGTATTATAACTTTATAGCACTCTCGACGACGCGACACTGCTGCCAAGAGACCGCAATGCCACTTTTTGTTACTCTTACTCCATGCAACAGCCAGGCAGAGCTAAGCCTGAAATCTAATAATGGCACATTCCACACACGCATTGCTATTGCCATTGCCACATTACCATATCAAAAACGACTACGACTACAACTGCGGCTTGTGCATGCCCCACGGGCGCAGACAAGTCCCTCAACAACCACCTACGAATGTATCCCATCCATGCATAACTCAAAAATGCAATGCTTCTTTTCTATATATATATATATATAGATATATATAGGTATACATATATATATGTATATATATACATTGTGTTGTTTATGAACTTTAAACGTTTGCAACTCGCACTCTCTCTCCCACTCCCACTCTCGCTCTCTCTCCTCTCCACTCCACTCACAGTTGCCGCAGGACGAGCGATGTCAATGCAAGGTACTCTATGGATTAGTACGGCAATCCACTCGGCATCCACTCGGCCGTCCCTCTGCTCTGTGCCATTGACAACTATGTTGAACTTTTTGAAAGCTGTCACAACTAATTTGCATAGAGCCAGCCACATGGTTGGCCCCAGTTGCTTGCTGCCGTGTGGCAAGCGTGTGAGCGTTCGCTGCACACAAAGCCCCCGCTGTCTGCATATTGTTCCATATTTGCCTTTGCTGCCGCCTGTTTTTGGGCTTTGATTTGCGTTCAGCTTCCATTTTTAACAAATATTCATGACGTTCAAAAAACTTTTTTTACATCTTTGTGAACAACTCTGATTGGGCAGGGCTCGAACATGCCAGAATTTTCATTTAAGCCAGAGCACGCATAAGCTGCAATATGAATTCGCAAATAAAATTGTTTGTTGCGCTTGCACGACTAGAAGTTACCCTAACCTAGCTTAAATAGCCTTTTAACTGATTTCTGCTATTCCACTGATTATCATTGAATATCATCTATATTTATAAAGCGATTGGCTTAAGGCTTTCTAAGTATTCAGCTGAAACTGGAGTAAATTTATGTTAATGTGGGGCATGTGCTGGACATGCCTATAGAATTTATATATATTTAAGAAACTTCCAATCAGATTCTTTGTTTCTGGAACCTTGTGAGAGCTGGAGAACTAGGAAACTTTAATAAACTTTGATCTACTTGGCATCCCCTCTCCACTCCTTCACTCTCATCAGTAACTACAGGGTATTGCCATATATTTGGCTGTGTATCCACATTAAGCATTTAACGTTGATTCATGCTTTCATTTGGTGTCTATCCATTTCATCAGCTGCTCGCATTTATCACGAGGCTGACGTGCTCATTGGCTCATTGGCTCGATGGCTCGTTAGGCAGTGCCCAAATGTCTAGACTTGCGAGTCGCTTGCCTGCCTTTCGTCATATCTTGAGAACCATAACCTATCTGTTAAATTGCCAGCCGCTAGTCGGTTGCATAACTTGACCTAGGCCGCCGCTCTCGTCCTTGATGCGCCAACCACCTTCCAGCCACTCGCTCCACAGCGCGACATCGTCCACTTTGCCACATTTTATCTTAATTGCCATGCGTTGGCAATTTACATGCGGCGCCACAACAAAAGATATGCATAAATTCTTCACTTGGCAAACAGTTATGGGTCGCGAGCGACACGCTCGCCACAGTCTTCAGTTAACGATATGCCCTGTAATTTGTGTGCATAAAGAAAGCACTAGGAACTAGTTTAAATAAAGTAAATAGAGTATATAATATATTGTATATAATATATAATTTATTATATAAAAACACTTTTAACAGCTCTGCTAATAGTTCAACTATGCACTTATTATTTTCTCTTATAGGTATAGCCTATAGACATTTCTAAAAAAAATTTTTTTTTTAATTTTTATAGTTTTATGTTTATAATAAAATTTTTTTAAGATTTAGCTTTAATAGTCAAAAGTTTTCTTTTCACAATTTACCATAAATTGTTTAGCATATATATATTTTTTTAAACAAGTGCAGGGTATGTGCTAGTCATGCCAGCTTCATTTTTTCATATTATTTCTTCTGTTGACATAGCTCGTTGGGCTTTGAAATATGCTTCAGTGCGTATGTTTCTATGCTTAGACAGTTTCATATAGTGCCTTCTTTAGGTTATTAAAAATATATATAATATATATATCTATATATATATATATATATGATCAGCTCTATATGCTAAGATTGTTTGTATTTGCAGCTAGAAAAATAATTTGAATTAGTTTTGACTACGTGCTGCTAAGCAGTTCCCTTTTTGTTACTGAAATACTATATGATAGGGTATTCCTCAGTCTGGCATGCTTGCTGTTAGCTGTTGGCATGTCCTTGGCTTCTGCATAAATTCACAGCGACCCGAACTAATTCCTCTAAGTGTTTTATTATCCGTTGCGTGTTTTAGCTGTTGTTGCTGCTGCTTGTTTGTGTTAATTTGACATGATTATGTCAGAATGTTTGACAAGTTGTCATATGGCGTAAAAATGCTTGAGCACAAAAATTGCTTGCAACTTTCTTGACTTGATAGAGTCAGCTGCCACCCACCGCCACTCGGGGCTTCGTCCTTTAGGGCTGCGTCATTGTGCGCGTCCTTGAGGCGGGCCTTAGACAGCGGAAGCGGAAGCACATGCCAGCCCCAAAGTTTCACAGTCATTTCTTTTGCCTTTTGCCTTTTTCTTCTGCTGCTTGCCATTCTTGTGGCAAATTCATTAATAACATTTGTGCGGCAAAGTTTTCTTTTTTATATTCTCGCCCCGCCCACTCGCCGCCTGCTGGCAGTGTCTAGTAATATATTGTTAAAATGGCGTAAAATTGCCAGCTTTTTGGGCGTCAGTTTGTGACACGCGTCGTGGGCGTCCTTGCAGAGGCCTGTGCAAAAAAAACCATAATATATATATATATATATGTATCTGAATGTGAAGATAGATATATAGAGGAGGGTAGGCAAAAAGAATGTGTCGAAAATTAACCTTTTGACAGCCGAGCCTTGAGCCTGCGAGCAGGCAAATGGAGTTGACAAATGAAGCTGCTGCAGAGGCAGAGGCAGAGGGGCAGCGGTGGCTACAACGAGCAAATGAAGTGGAAGTGGAAGTTGCCACAAGTAGATTCCGAGCACTTGTCATTAGCCTTGCTCATGCAGCAGTCAGTTTTACTTATCGCTTCTATTTGTCTTTGCAGAACAAGTGAACAGCAGCTGACGTCGGCTGCTGCTGCAGTGGGCGTTGCCGCGCCCCTAACCGATAAAACAGAGGCTGCTGTGGCTGCGGTCAAGTGCAGCGGCAGCAACAACAACAACAACATCAACAACATCAACAACATCAACAGCGGCAACAGCAACGGCGGCAATAATGCGCAACAGTCACAAAAATCTCAGCTGCAGCAGCAATCGAGCAACAACAGCAACAAATTAAATGGCCAATCAAATCTCAGCGCGACCAACAACAACAACAACAACAACAACAGCAGCAGCAATAACAATAATAACAAAATGACGCCAAACAGCCAAACGGATGCTAAAAATGGCGACAGTCGCCGCCGCAGCAGCAGCTTGGAACCGGATGCAGACGACGCAGGCGACTTAGCCCATGGCGGAGCCTTCGATGACGATATGCAGGCACTGCTGCCCAAATGCACGCGACGCTCGAGAGATGAGCTCAGTCAGGTTGGTCTAGCAAATAAGCAAATTAATAATTATTCAAGCGTTCGGCAAGGAAGAATGAGGAAGAGGGAGAGATGGAGACTGAGAAAGATGAACAGTGGAAGAGAGAGAGAGAGGGAGAGAGAGAAGGAAAGAAAGAGAGAAAGGAGAGAGAAAGAAGGAAAGGCAGAAAGACAGAGAAAGAAAGACAGAAAGAGAGAGAGAGAGAGAGAGAGACTGAGAGAAAAAGAGAGAGAGCGAGGGAGAGAGAGAGAGACAGGAGAGAGAGAGAGAGAGAGGCAGAGAGAGAGGGACAGAAAGAGACAGGAGAGAGAGAGAGAGAGGCAGAGAGAGAGAGAGAGAGAGAGAGAGAGAGAGAGAGAGAGAGAGAGAGAGGTTTCAGCCAGGCAAGAAAAAGTAAATAGAATAAAGATGAAGGAGAGCAGAAGAGGAAGAAAGAGAGAAGTAAAGAGAGAAGCAGGCAATGAGATAGAATCTAAGAAGAGAGCCAGACAGGGAATGATATACAGATAAAGATAGAAACGGAGAGCGAGGGATCTAGAAATATAGACAGACAGAGAATAGAAAAGAGAGAGAGAGAGAAGAAGAGTGAAGATAGCTCTAAATATACTCTTCTAGGAGATTGTACTCATAAGAGCCATATGGAATATAGTAGCACAATTCCGTATAAAAGTATTCATTGAATTCTGAAATGTGATCAAATCGAGGTCACGACTAGACACAATAGATCAAAGCAGACTCTTGGTAAGTCTAGCAATTGCTTGATCAGAAGGCTAAAGCCAAAAACTTTTCAAAATAAATCTTAAATCTTAGGAGCTTAAATGGATTAGATTTTGTTTAAGTGCAAGCAGAGAAAGCTAGAGAAAATAAACACAATAGATGATGAAATATTTAATTTAATTTTTTTTATTTTTATTTTTTTTTATTGTTTATAGTGTAGAACCCGTACAATCAAATTTAGTACCTTAACAACAATTGTATATATATGGAAATAGAGCCATGAGAGCTTGCCGCTGACTGAAGAGAGTTTCTGAACTCGTACATATCCCTTTCTATTTAACTCATTTTCGTGACACTATCAAGTTACGCTATACCAGGAAATATGCTTATATAACTAATCAGGCTAACAGTCTATAAATCTAATCATTGAAATGAAATTGGCTTTCAAATTATAAAGCTTTATGTTTGAATTGATATTGCATAATTAGAAATTACTTAGTAGCTGGGGAATTGTGTGTGTGTGCGTGTGGCAACAACTGTTGAGCATATTGATGAGTACAGCTTTGTATTTGTCGCAATTGCCATATTTGTTGTTGGCCTGGCTGCCATAATGTGCGGCGCCTATGCCACACGGTCCGTGGCACAGTAAGTGGCAATTACGCAAGCTGCCAATGGGCCATCAGCAGCCAGTGCTAGTCCTTTTAGTGCTTTTGTGCCTTTGTCCCTTTGTGCATGTGGCACTCATTCATTCATAATTTGCTACGTGTTGCCATGACAGGCATAATCATAATGCTGCCACTGCCACTGCTGCTGCTGGTGCTGCCATAAACTGTGCATCGAATGATGCCCATTTCGACAGAAATAAAAATTACAATACACGTTCACGTCCTCTGCTCTCAAGCGATTCCTCCTCCAGCATGCTCGACGCTCCACTCCACCTACCCTTGCCCATTATGGCTTCATTATTTAGATGCATTCGTGCGTGCTGCGTGCTGCGCGCTGTCTTCCTCTCAGCTCTGGCATTCTTCATTAATAACTGCGAATCCTTTTACCAACATCGTCGTCGTCGTCGTCATCGTCATTATTAAAAGCGACGCCTTTATTCTAATGTCTGACAGGAAATTATAGCAGAGTCGGCGCCTAATATGAATAATGAAGCGCTCCACCCTCAATACCCTAACACACTTACACACACACACAGTTTGCACAAAACTCTTTTTGACAAGTCAATTTACTAGTTAATTTGATATGCCAGCTTGATCCACACACACTCCCACACACATCAACACCCACTAGCCAACACTATGCACAGCTCTGAGCTCACTCATGCGTTAAGCACAGCTGCATGTTCTCTATAATTGCTTAATAATGCGTTAGAATGCCAGCTTATTGCAGCTGGAGGCGCTGTTGCCAAACTTCTGCAATTGCTCTAGCTACTTGCAACGCAAAGTATGCAACACATTGCATGGCTTAGTGCACTTCATTGCACTGCTCATCACAGTTATCAGTTGCATTGTTGCCAAACTTCTGCAATTTGTAGCTTACAGTGTTGCCAAACTTCTTTTCCTCACATAAAAAGCATTGTCAATTGCAGGCATTGTTGCCAAACTTCTGCAACTATTTCCAAGCTACGTTGCCAATTTTCATGTGCGTCAAAAGAGCAACGTTGCCAAATTTCTTTTCTAAGTATATTATTTCATAATTATATAGGCATAATTTATGATAGTTCAAACAGTATGCGCTGTTGCCCCATGTCGCAGTCAGCATGTGCAGCGTTGCCAATTTTCATGTCTTTTGTCTTTTGTCTCTGTGCTCGCTCACATGCCGTTGGCCAAGTTCAAAGTCAAAGACCAAATTAATACCTCTCTGTGGACGTGTGTGTGAGTGTGTTGCAATACAGATATTGCTACCGAGCTGGGCAACCACAAACGTGTGGGCTGTCTGGCCAGACACATGTTCACATTTTAATTTGTGTTGCATTTCCTGTTGCATTCGGCAAAGGACTCCAAAGGATAGCAAGGACGAGCATCTTTGCTGTCTCGACTGCCGCATAAAATATTGATTTCAATGGGCTTCAGCTGACCAGCAAGTGCAGCAACAGCAACAACAGCAGCAGCAGCTGTGGCAGCTAACCTAGCCTAGTCTGGCCTGGCCTGGCCAACAACAATTTCCTCTGCGATTTTTGGCCATTTATGAATATTCAATAAAAACAACAACGACGAGCATTGGCGATAAAAGTGTCTGCTGCGCGTTGCCATAACCACAGACAGCTTTACAGCAACAAATGCAACACATGAGTCGCATGCCACATGCCGCATGCCGCTGTCTGCCTGTGAAAAGTTTTTATCGCTCGCCTGCCCATCAAAGCTGCGAGTTGGAGTTAGAAGCTGGCTGACTGCCGGGGCCAGGTGGGGTAGGCGGGGCAGCTATGCTGCTCAACTTTATTACTTTCATTATGCCACAGCCCTGTTGACATGTTGCCCATGCCCCAGCCCAGGCAGCAACCCTATAAGCCGCCCTTCGGACATACACTGAGATAAGCCCGGCAGGCGAAGTCCATAAACAAGTTTCGAGTCTAATCTGCAGCTGCGGGCCATGTCCAGGTGCACGTGTACTAATTGCAGCGGTATTAGTGGCGCTTTGTCAGCGGCTTACAGCCACGCCCACTTTGCTTGTCATGTCAGCCGAGAGTGACTCTTGGCATTCCATTTGAGTCGCTTCTTTTATATATTTTTTTGTTTTTAGCATGTTTACTGATGCCAGCAGCAGGATATGAAAGCCAGACAGACAAGGACAGGCCAGCAGCGCCGGATGCTCGGACACAGCTTTAAAGCTGCTCTAATGAAGTGTGTCCTAAAGAAGTAGTAGAAAAAAACGCAGAAGAGCGTTCTTCTAGCTCCACTGCCATTTGCCCATCGCCTCGGGCCAGCTGGAAGGAAGTTTGTCACTCCATTCGATGCTTTTTGGGTGGTGCGTTTGCTGGGTGTCATGTTGCAGGCTACTCAACTGCTTGGCCAGACATCGTGCGCCTAATGGCTGTGACTTTTTGACAGCCACAGCCACAGCCACAGCCAGAGCCACAGTCACAGTCAAGTGTCCCATGTCCTGTGTGTCCTGTGTCCTGTGTCCGGTTTCCTGTGTCCTTTTCACAGCTGCCCCTACCCGGCCGCACAGTTTGTCTGCGTCTTGCCACTGGCCATAGATTTAATGTGCAGCTTATTACATGGCTTCAAATGTTGATTGTATTTTACTTTGGTTGCGCTATAAATATTCCCATTGCCCCGATTACAATTAGTTCTGCTTGGCATAGTTGCCAAACTTCACGAAACTTGTATATTTCGTCTTCTTATCGAATAAGTAGATAACTTATGCAAACACTGTTGCCAAACTTCACTTCACTTTAACACTTTTGCACTATTAAATGCGTCAAAGTGTGAAAAATGATTACATTGTGGCTACACTGTTGCCAAACTTCACAGCTCTTCATAGTGTGAAATGTGCAAAAATTAAAAACTTAAAACTAGTTTAATGCTAATGGCCGCTGTCAATGTGGCAGCGTTGCCAAAGTTCATGCACACACATATATATATATATACATATATATGTATATATATATATATAGATATGTATAATTCAACTCTTGCCAGACTGCAGTAGAAACGCAGTTAATTATGCATTCATAGCGAGGCTGTCCAACAAATCGACAACATGTCAACATCGCGCTTCAATTAGCCAGCAACAGCAGCGCAGTTAGACTGCCCTACACACACACACACACACACACACGCACACTCTTGTCATGTAGCTGAACATTGGCTGTGCTGCAGCCTGCTTTGATCCACACTAAAAACTAAACGCGCAGACAGAACGCAAGAGGCACAAGGCACAGCAGTCACATATGTCACCAAATGCTATGCCGTCTGTGCACAGTTGTCTATTGTTGTTGTTGTTGTTGTTGTTGTTGCTTTTGGCGCAGTTGTTGCCATTGCGGTTTTGTGGCCACCTCTGTTGCTGCCATTAAATGTAATTCTCTGTGGTTTTTATGGTTTTTTAAAACATTCAACAGCATTTTACGTGGCTGCTATTTATCTTTTATTTCGGCACTCACTTTGGCCCCCAAAACTCAGCTCAACTCCGCTCTTTGCAGGACCCGCCGCTGCCTCAGCTACAGCTGCTGCTGCTGTCATGTCCCTTGGCCGTGTTGCCCAGCACGTTTTCATTCGTTGCTGTTGCTGTTAGTTGTGTGTTGCCGCTGCGTCAGACAATAATTCAGTCTCGAGTGC